ATATATTATTATTATCGTATATATAAATTAGTAACCTATATCTGTTGTGTGTGTGTGTGTGTGTGTGTTGTGTGTGTGTGTGTTGTGTATGTGTGTATATGTGTGTATATGCATAAGTACATGCAAACATACATGCATACATACATACATACATACATACATACATACATACATACATACATATATACATGCATATATATAGATAGATAGATAGATAGATGAATAAATATGTATATAGATAGATAGATATAGACAACTGAATAGATTGATAGATATTCATACACATACTGTATGCCTTACATCTGCATATTTGTGTTGATACATGTTATCCAATATTTGTTTCTTTTCACTAGGCTGACTTCCTTAAGGCCAGAAGACAGTGGTCAGTATCAGTGTCAAGTGAGCGGTCCAACAGGATTCCTCTCCTCCGTCATTACCTTAAACGTCATGAGTGAGTGATTACTTAAGAAGTACTTACCTGATATGCATGAAAACAGGACTTTTAGTTTTATAAGTGGACTTGATGCCTAGTTTTGGAGAATTCTTTGTTGTTTTAGGGATTATTGCTTATGCATGCAAGTGGTGTTGTTCACAATAAATACACTTGCTTAATGCAGAATTTGCTATCAAGTGGATGGACATCTCAAACTGAAGGTTATACCACACTGATAATTGTCAAATGTTCCTGTTGTCTCAAAGAAAAACTGTAATGTCCAAGATTTTTGTTGTTGTTAAGAAGTGAAAATAATGCGATAAGCATTGTAAATGCTTTTGATAACAAGTGTTTGACTTGTAGTATTGTTATTAAGTTGTTCTTATAATGTAGAAATTAAAAGCTGTACTGGTAGAACAGTTGTCATATTTTGTCAAATGAATGACATTATTTCTGACTTTGTAGCTTGTCGTTAACTTAATTTATGTAAATGAAAAGTGCTTATTTTGCTTTTTTTTTCTGAACCAGTTTTATCATCAAATCTGATTCACCTTGTCAGTTAGTTACATGTTTTAAAGATAGTATGAAAAATTATAAAATCTGGTAAAGCTTGATTTGTAATTCTGTCTTTATTGCTTAATCTGCTAACTGCATGATATGTCCAAGAATATTTATGTAATATGCATGCACCAGTTACTAACATTCTTCTCTAACTGCTGTGCCTCTTTTATGTTTACTTAATAAAATGTTGTTATTCTCTACAATATCTTCTTTTACCTGTGCATTTATTCTTTCAGCTCTTCTGAGTTTGTTACATTAGTAATGTAGTAATAATTGTCACTTTTTGTGATGTAGTAGGCATATAGAGAGACTTCGGTGTCATTGTTCATGCAGATTTGATGTCATGCTCTCTAATCAGATGATATGCTGCTGCTTTACAGATATTATTATGCTTTGTTATTATAAGTGTATTGAATTACATATCACATTGTTCTGTTATCAGAACCATTCTCTTATTATTGTTAATTGCTTATACTATGAACTTAACTTTCATATTCTATTATTAAAGAATCTTTTGTGTAGTTAGATATTATTTATTGGTAAATTTTTATTAAGTAAATATCAGACAGACCATAGTTAAGAATTTTCACTTAGATTGCAAACCTGCATGGTTATTTTTTGGATGAAAGTGTTTCTTCACTGAAATGTTTTTCCTTAATCTTGTGCCTTTTCATTTTCACTGTTTACTTTGCTTTTTTAGCAGTACTTTTTCTTCAGCTGATGTTATCATATATGGTTATTACTATATCATGCCAAGCTTTTTTTTCCTTTTAATGAAGTGGGATGAAGCAATCTTAATTCTTACTTTTTCTCTTTTTTGCATATTGCTGTAATGATAAAAGTTTTTTCAAATGTATATTAATTGTGCTAACTCTTTTTGTTGCATGCTCTCAAGCTTGGAATGGCTCAGCAGGTTTTCTTCTGAGGCAGACTAATAAGACTAACTTATCCGCAAGTGTATATAATGCTGATGGAACAATGTGTGGTGAAGAGTGCGCTTACACTCTTGCAGATGATTCAAAAGTCAAATCAAACTTAGTTCATGTTAGCAAAAAGGCTCATAGTATAGAATATTCTTCAAAGGGACTAGATTGTTTAATGTTTGGATCACTATCAGATCAAGTCAAATGCATCACCAATTCTAAACCTGAGGAAGAGCAGGCAGTTGCAAAAAATCAGGAAGAAATTTCTAACTTACGAGGGACACTCCAGACAAACCATTCTTCAATTGGAACATGGCTTGCTGTTGTTGATTTAAGAAACTGTAGTCACTCCCCAGATTTGTGTTTCATCCTTATGCCCAGCAACCACCAGAATTTCGAAAGGAGTGAACACTTTCCACCTACTTGTTTTTTCATCACTGCGTTGTCAGAGTCCTGTAATTTATTAAGAGCATATTCTAACAGCTGTGCAAGTATCAGTTATTTCTTTAAAATAACCACTGCTTTGGGAGATATAGTAGATGTAAACATTAACTCTGATTTAATGCTCTTTTGTAATTCAACTAACAATGCATGTGACTGGATATGCGCTGATATCACAAATAAAGGAAAGGACAGTGTTAAAATTGTCTCCTTGGGAATGGACAGATTGCTTACAGGTGAGTGAATAGATAGTGCAGTCAGTTTCTTCTTTGTATTTTTGTCATTATACATCTATAAATTTACATTTTTGATAATTGTCTCTCCCAGATTTTATGATTCAGCAAGCCAAAAAAAGGAAGCCATTTTTCATCCTCTAACAAATGGAGAAAAGAAATAGAGAAATAGAAGACATAGCATAACCTAAAGATCAAAATACTCCACAATAGACCATGACAACCTTACCTTATTGCATAATTTTTTGAACAGCGGGACGACAGACCATGGATATCAGAATCATACCCAGTCGCTCTAATGTAAGAATTGGAGATGATATTGACTTGACATGTGAAGTGAGTGGCCAGGCACCGGCATCAGTCACCTGGAGGAGAATCAACTCACGCCTTCCTCTTAATGCTCAGCCACGGGAAAATGTGCTCAGGTTGATCAATGTGCAGGCTAACTATGGAGGAATTTACCAGTGTGTTGTCACAACTTCCACTGGAGTCTTTGAAGAAAACTTCCCTCTAGCAATTCAGGGTAAGTTTCTTTTCCTTTTTTTCCATTCTTCTTTTCATGACGCAGGTGCCATTTGCAAATAAGTTCTTTGGAAATGCTTATAAGTCAAAATTATTGAGGGACTATTTATTAAATCCAAGATTTTCCAAATCATGAAGTATAATATGCTCACATTTTGCTTCATTGATTAAATACAAATGATATTTTATTTCAACTTAACTCTGGGCTCTCGTTATGGATGGATATTGTTGGTGAGATATTGCTATGTTCATAACTGTTTAATGTGAAATAATATCTATTTTACAAGTTTTATCGTTTATTGAAACATGACTCCAAAATCAGGCAAGTAAAGAAGTATCAGGGTGATTGTATATTGTGATTTTGCAGGTGTAATTTCTGCTGAACGTGTGGACTTCGAACAAAACCAACGATCAGTCATGACACGATCTGTAGCATTTGGGCTCGGTGTTGTCATGGAATGCAATGTCAACCTAACTCCTCCTGTATCATACACCTGGTCTAAGCAGGGTGGTGAACTACCTGTCAATTCCCTTGTTGAAAATGTAAGATGATACATATTTTCATAAATGTGTTCAGAGAAATTGAATGATATTTATCTGATTGCTGCATATTCTGTGTTATTATTTCAGTCTCCTGATATTCTTTCTCTTTCTTTGGCAGAATATCTTGAATATTCCAGAAGTTCATACAGAGGATGCTGGATTATTTGTGTGTACAGCCAGTAATACTGAAAGATCTCTAGACCAAGCCACTTTATTGGTTGTAACAGGAGTTATTCCAAGGTATGGAGGTCTTTTATGAGCTCTTATTATTTTTTTATTGTTGTTAATGAGGAAAAAAAAATTAATAGATTTTTATTATTAATTTTTTCTTAGAGTGATTTTTTTAGGTTTGTGAATACAGAATCTTGTATGAATATTATCCTTTTTAGGGAGTATTTATTTTAGTGACTTAGTACTTTATCGTCCTTACTTTGATAATTAGCAGTAAACAGACATTCTGAATCATTTGAATTTCAGATTCGCAGAAAATTCTTACTTATCACTGCCAACACTCCCAAGAGCTTATCTTGCCTTCGATATCGAAATCTCGTTCAAGCCAGAGAGTGGTGATGGTAAGTGTTATGTTTTTTATATGATGGGAGAAAAACTGGTTTTGTGTATGATTCATATGACTGAGTTTTATGTCTTTCTCTCTCTCTTTATCTAGCTTTCTCTTTCTTTCTCTGTCTCTCTCTCATCTTCTCTTACCTCTCTTAGCATATGATTTTATTTTTGCACTTTTTGCCTTTTGTTAAGATTTTTTCAGCAATGCCTTATACTCAAGTAATGTAATTTTTCAACTCTTGAGTTTTACTTTCACTTACCTCATTAAGTATCTTTAAATTGCAGTCTTTCATGATATTTCTTATTATCCTGCTCTCATGATTATCTCAGGATTCAGACAATCATCTAGCACAATACTCTTTGAAGTCTTGAAGCAAAATACACATACTTTGGACTTTCCACAGGTCTGATTCTTTACAATAGCCAGCGTGAAAGTCAAGAAGATGGAGACTTTGTTTCCTTCGGTCTGAGTGCAGGTTATGCAGAGTTCCGCTTTGATGTAGGATCAGGGCCAGCAATTATCAAGTCTCGTCAGCCCTTGGCCCTGAACAAGTGGCACACTGTCAAGCTGTCAAGGGACAGAAAGAAGGGTGAGTATCCTTGTTGCCTTTATCTTGCACATATGTAGACACTCCAACCTCATTTTAATGGAGAACAGGGGAGGAATAATGTTCTGATTTTGCCAATTGGTGTTCCCCTGGCACAGCAGACAATAATAGTAGTATCATGAGTGTGGTGTGGAGAGGCCTGCCTGGTTCACAGCCTGCCTGGCATTTGCTTGGTGTGGTGAGCAAGAACCAACAGGTAGGCTGCAAGTGTGGCATGGCTAGGGTCTCTTGGCTCACAGTCCACACCACTGCCTGGTGCTCAGCTGGTGCAGTGGCTGCCAGTGCATCATGGTGAAGCTGATTTTGTTAAATACTTCTGATATCCATTAAATTCAGGTCCATAAAACCGAGGTGTCAGAGTGTGTGTGTGTGGGTGCGTGCATGCGTGCGTGCATGTGTGTGTGTTGTATATATATAATAGAAATAATATAGGTATAGATATAGATAGGCACACACACACACACACACACACACACACACACACACACACACACACACACACACACACACCACACACACACACACACACACACACACACACACACCACCACACACAACACACACACACACACGCACACACACACACACACCACACACATATATATACACACACAACACACACACACACACACACACACACACACACACACACACACACACACACACACACACACACACACACACACACACACACACACAACACACACACACACACACACACACACACACACACACGACACACACACACACACACAACACATACACACACACACATCACATACACATATATATATATATATATATATATATATATATATATATATATATATATATATATATATGTGTGTGTGTGTGTGTGGAATATGAAACTGGAAATATTAATTTGCAACAACATTCTTTTTCCTCTATCTTTCCAGGTAGCATGATTGTTGACGATGGGGAGCCAATCATGGGCAGCAGTGTTGGTCGATTCCTGGGACTGGATCTCGTAAGACCGCTGTACCTCGGTGGTGTGCCAGACTTTGACAGGATCCATCAAGAGGCAGGATTTACAACTGGTTACAGTGGATGTATTGCCCGGCTGGTGATTCGAAATTCTTTAACAATTGATTTGATGAGAGATTCAAAGACTAAGGTAATTTTTTGTTTTGTTATGTTTCTTTTATTGTTGGTTTTTGCTGGCAATTGGATATTTGATGTACCAGGGTATTTGAATTATAGAAAAGAATGTTAATAGTATTTATCAGCAAATAGTAACAAAAGTGCTTAAAGATCACAGGAAGAATTGACAGAATAAAATAACAGTATTAATGATATTCCAGATTGGTATCAGGCCGTGCGAGACCTGCATTGGCAACCCATGTCAGAACAATGGTGTGTGCCAAGAAGCATACACTGAAGTGGGCCACAAGTGTATTTGTCCAGCTGGCTTCTCAGGGGGATTGTGTGAGAACACTGGAGAGGCTTGCTACCCAGGTCAGATAACTTAGTTGAATCACTCATAGTTACACAAGTAAATATGAATGATACAATAGAGTGAAATGAAACCATAAAGGATAACTTGTGAAAAGTTAGTTATGAACATATTAAAGAAAAGTTTGAAGTTTTAGTTAGTCACAGGAAAATGGGAATGATGTGCCAGAAACCCATTCACAATCCTTGCTCTTTTCCCTTTCAGGTGTCTGTGGAACCGGTCGCTGTGTAAATAAACCAGGAGGCTTTGAATGTTTCTGTCCATTTGGCAAATTTGGACAGAGATGTGAGAGGGATATAATGATTCAGGAACCAGCATTTGGAGATGGATCCTATATTGCTTACCAAACGCCAAGAGCACTTAAACGATTCTCTGTGGACCTTAACTTTAAACCAGAGGTGAGATGTTAATTTAGTTATAGGCATATATACATACACACACATATGGTGAGAGAGAGAGAGAGAGAGAGACACTAATGTATGGGAGACCGAGAAGAGAGAGAGAGAGGAGGAGAGAGAGACGAGAGAGAGAGGAGAGAGAGAGAGAGAGAGAGAGAGAGAGAGAGAGAGAGAGAGAGGGAGAGAAGAGAAGCAGAGAAGAGAGACGAAGGCAGAGAGAGAGAGGAGAGAGAGAAGAGAGAGAGAACATACATATATGTATGGAAAGAGAGAGAGAGAGAGAGTGAGTGAGTATATGCATATATAGAAAGGGGCAACTGATATCCAGTAGGTTTGTTATAGAATTAGATGTTTTATGTAGTTTGGTAAGTTCATTTTGTTTATATTTTATCTATGTATTTTTTTTATTCAATTTTTTATTTTTTATTTTTTTCCCAGAGCTTGGATGATGGTCTGTTGATGTACTGCTCACAAAAGTATCGTGGAGAAGGTGACTTTGCATCATTAGCTATCCGAAACAAGCGCTTGGAGTTCCGTTTCAACACAGGAAGTGGCACTGCTACTCTGCAGAGTGACCCATTGTTCCAGGATGAATGGGTCGAAGTAAGTCCTAGTGCTAAAAAAGTGGTTTATGCTACCCTCAGTAGGCTATGGTGGGAGCTATTAAAGGTATTAGAATCAATAGTGTTATCCTACTATCATTATCTTTTTTACAGGTACGTGCTAACAGAACAGATCGTCGTGGATCCATGACAATCAATGGAGGCCAAATGCAAAATACAGAATCCCCAGGTTCAAACAGAGGACTGAATCTTATCACCCCATTGTATATCGGAGGTGTCGACAATACCCGGGTGGAAATCTCACCTGAAGTTGGAGTGGAACATGGATTTAAAGGATGTGTTAAAGAGGTATCCATTCTCTTTCAGATATTTTAAATCTTACAAAGATAGTAAATGCAATACCATGAAAAATGTTTTAGAATTTTTAGAAATGTGGAAATTATGATCTGATCTGGAAAATTTAATTCATGATAAGAATATCTTATTTCAAATCCAGTAAGTCCTGTCTGGAGTGTAGATCCTTTTTATTTTTGAAAATTTACTTGAATGTCTTTTGGGAGATAGAAAAAACGTAGAGTACATAAAATATATATCTGTTTGTTATTGTTTCATACAGAAATAAGAGTATACTATACAATTTTTTTTCTTTTGATTGCATTTTCAGCAAAAATCCCGGGGTACATTCACAGTCACTCATAGCATTTCTCTGTAAAAAGAGATTTTGCATTTTCCACTTTGGTGCACATGACATAAGAACTTAACTAACTGTTAGATTCAAGCACTGAAGACCTCTTCTCAATGTATTTCAGATCAAAATCATGGACCAACAAGTTCGCATGGCAGAATCACTAGTGGACTCTGCCAATGTTGGACAGTGTGGAGGTGCCACCATTGCTTTCTGCAGCACAAACCCTTGCCTCAACAATGGACAGTGTTCAGAGGATCCAGGCTCACCACATGGGTATTCTTGCTCTTGTCAAGAAGGATACAGGTGTGCTTTTTGGAATTGTGTATCTGCTTCTTTTGTGGGTGAT